TGATTTTGTTCTGGGTCTTAGATGCCTGATACCTGATTCCATTGATACCTCATGATCACACAGCCTGGTGTGCTTCTTCCATGTGGGCTTTGTTGCTTCTGAGCTAGATGGCCACTTGTTGACCTTCAAGCCTTTAAAACCCCAGATGCTATATCTTTAGCTAGTCGGCCACCATCAACTTTCTTCACCACATTTCCTTATGCACTCATTTTGTCTTCAGTGATTGTATTGGGAAGATGAGCATCACAGAATGCCGAATTATTAGAACAAAGTGTTCTTATGTTGAGGGAGTACTTGAGTGGAGGCCCAATGTCCTTCTGCTACCTTAATACTAAACTTATAAATGTAGGCTCATAGATCTATTTCCCCATCCAAATAATATATTTGCATATGTACATGTCTTTATCTAGAGCTCTATAAATGCCCTTTGCCTCCCAGCTCTTTCCTCTATTTCCCTTGATTCTCCTCCTGTCCCACTATCATGCTCAGTCACCACCAGGATTTCAGCACCTCCTCTTTGTTACGTTCCCTTGACCCTGCCCTACCAGGGCTCCCACACCCACCTCCCCACCAATTTGGATCGCTTGTTGTTCCCTTGTCCCTGGGTTTGTTATCCCCTCTTCTTCCCTTCCCCCCTCCTCCCCCTCTCCCATGTCCCCCCGGAACTGTCAGTCCCGTTGTTTTCTCCTCCAGATTGTTCATCCAGCCTGTCCTATCCAGACAGGCTGACATCGTCTCCCTTTTAACCCCACCACCATTACCAACTACCTCCACTCCCCTGAAATCCTTATTTTACTTACTGTCCCTATTAGTTCATCAATCCTGGGTTTCATATACCAAAACCCAGAAAAACAAGTAACGCAACTTCAAGAAGGTGACCTCCAATAATATAACACGTCTGAGATACACCCTAATATGAACAAAGAAAACAAAGATATAGAAAATGTTGAGAACCAAATCAGGTCCAGTATGCATCAGAGGGGGAAACAACAGTGTTTTAACTGTTCAAGTCACATTTATGGCTTTGATCTTCTGTCCTCATCTCTCCAGTGCACTCTAAGAACCACTTTCCTCCCTTCTCTCAACTGTGCATAGAGAGAGTTCATAGGAGGCGTATTTCCTATGTAGATCCCACGAATGAATCTTGGGCTCCCACTGTCATCCACAAATTTCTGCAAACTGGTTTCCCACTATTTAGGCTCTGATATTCATCCCTCCTACTTTGGGTTATATACTTGACAATTCTTTGGTGGCTGATGATGGTGTGCTTCTTCCAGGTGGACTTAGTTGACATCTCACTTAGATAGATGGCTGCTTGTTTGGAGACAAACCTGTGAGACCCCAAATGCTATTTTATCTGATAGCTGGGCATTATCTAATTTCTTCGCGACCTTTTGCTGTATCACATATTTTCTTCTGTGTTCCCTTCCTGAGGGTGAGTGTCAAGCAAGGCCACGATGTAAGAACTAATTGTTCTTAAGTTGGAGCTAGGATTTAGTGTGAGCCCAAAATCCATTCCTGAATCTATGTTTTGTTTTCATTTATTATTAATTGGCAGTTAATCTATAGATCATTCCATAGTTCAAGCACGTCGAGCAGAATTGCACAATTACTTCTATAATCAGTTTCCAAACGTAGTTTTTCTCTTCCTGGCCTCCTTGACATCTCCTCTCTTTTACCCTGCCTCCCACCATCCCTGTGTCCCTTCCCCCCCAAAAAATAACACCCCAAAACACAAAAAACTTGTTCTACTTGCTGCCCCCATAGGTTCATCAGTCCTGGGTTTCATTGACCAGAAAACAGAAAAGCATATAACACAATGTCAAGAGGGTGACCCCCGATGACATAAAGCCTTTGAGATGCACTCTTATAAAAACAAACCAAAACAAAATAAAACAGAATGTCCATCATAGCTTTGCCGGAATAATACATATCTTAATGCAGCATATAGGGCATTGATGTACTAAGACCATGTTTCTTTACAACAGTTCAACAGTCTTGGTACAGCTGTCTTCCACTTCCTCAGACACCATGTATTTTCCGACTTAAGGCTCAGGTTACAAAATGTCTGAGAGAGTCCAGTTCACCCTGTGAAGTTTCCCCGTTGGGAACTGCATCTCACTGATGCAGTCTCTGGAGCGTTCTGTGCACCTTGACGACCCAGGATTCAGTGTTCCCGCGTTCCACAGCACCTGGCCTGAGTGCCCAGGATGCACCCAGAGGCCGATTATGTTTCGGGTTTGTCCATCTTGGATGCATGTCTTCTAGTCTTTCATGATATTTTGTAGTTTTTCTTCTAAAAACTCTCTGCCAATTTAATCTGTGCATTTTTTATTTTAATTCGTTTCTTCCCCTTCTGGAATTCTGATCACATGTTAGTTTCTTGCTGGGTTTTTTATAAAAAATCATTTTATTGGGGGCTTATACAGCTCTTACCATAATCCATATATCCATCCATTGTGTCAAACACATTTGTACATATGTTGCCAACGTCATTTTCAAAACATTTGCTTTCTACTTGAGCACTTGGTATCAGCTCATTTTCCTCTTCCCCCACCCTCCCTCCTTCATGAACCCTTGATAATTTATAAATTTTTTTTCATGTCTTACACTGACCATTGTCCCCCTTCACCCACTTTTCTGTAGTCCGTCCCCCTGGGAGGGGGTTATATGTAGATCCTGTGATCGGTTCCCTCTTTCTCCCCCCACCTTCCCCTTCCCCTCTTGGTATCAATACTCTCATTATTGGTCCTGAGGGGTTTATCCATCCTGGATTTCCTGTGTTTCCAGCTCTTACCTGTACCAGTGTACATGCTCTGATCTAGCCGGATCTGTAAGGTGGAATTGGGGTCATGATAGTGGCAGCGTGTGGGGTAGCGTTGAAGAACTAGAGGAAAGTTGTATGTTTCATTGGTGCTATACTGCACCCTGACTGGCTAGTCTCTTCCTTGGTATCCTTCTGTAAGGGGATGTCCAATTGTCTCTACTCCATACTTCCCCTCATTCACATTGATATGATTTTTTGTTCTGGGTCTTTGCTACCTGATAACTGAGCCCACTGACACCTCTTGATCACACAGGCTGGTGTGCTTCTCCCATGTTTTCTTTGTTGATTCTCAGTTAGATGGCTGCTGGTTTATCTTTAAGCCTTTAAGACCCCAGACACTGTATCTTTTGATAGCCGGGCACCATCAGCTTTTTTCACATTTGCTTATGCACCCATTTTGTCTTCAGTGATCGTTTGGGAAAGTGAGCATCACAGAATGCCAGGTTATTCGAATAAAGTGTTCTTGTGTTGATTTTTGTGGGTTTTTTTGTTGTTGTTCTTTCCTGATTGTTCCTCTAGCTGATTTGTATTGCATGATTTGTCTTCAATCTCATTAACTTAGTCATCTCTTTTTTCAATTCTACTTCTTTGTCTTTTCTACTCATTATCTACTTCTCAAACCTTAGTGGTAATCTGTATTACTATTTGCTGTTTTCATATTATTTTTAATTTTTCATTTGTTTTACCATTTCTTGTAGTGTTTTCCTGAATTTTTCTAAAATTTTTCTTTCTTTGAATTCCTTGTTAGCTAATTCCAGCGCGTTTTTTCCAATGCCAGATTGTGGCCTTGTATTTTGGTCTTCTTGTTTCTTCCTGTGAACTGAAATCAATCTGTTGTCTCTGAGACATTCTAATGTTGTTGCATTTGTATTTATGTGGTGACTGCATGTTGGTGTGTGCTTTGGTTCTCATCACCTGTCTCTTGGTAGGTGTATTGAGAAAGTGAGCACGTGTGCTGTTCTTGTTCACTGTTCATCCAGTACAGTGAAGGACATATTCATCTAGTTAGTGCTGGCTACTGTCTGTTATTTATTAAGTGGTACAGATCTGGGTGGTGACCCAGCCCAATGGGTGGGTCTGTAGGAGGTCCTGGAATGATGTGGCTGTATGGGCATGGTGCAGGAAAAAATAAATAAGTGAAAACATGAGAAAAGAAAAAACATTAGAAACAAATGCCAACAAAATAATAATGGAAAAAGGATGTGAAAGGGAACAAGCAAACAACAGTATGAAAAATAAGTATTTGATGAATAATAAGTAACAAAAGGACAGGAAAACAAAAGAACAAAGGAGGAGAAAAATCAAAGCACACAAAACAGAAGAAGCAAAACTAGAAAGGGGAAAAGAGAGTAAAGGAGGAAATAAGAGGAAAAAGGTAGGAAAGAAAACAAAGGCATAAAAGTAAATGATACATCGAAGAAAAGCAAGAAAATACAACCAGGAAAGAGAATGAAAGAAAAGAAATAAAGGAGAGCCCCGGGGAGAAGGTGCAGAGCTCCTGCAGGAGAAACCGTTAGGGGATTCCGTTCCAGTGTGGGTTAGCACTCTGTGATGGGGGAGGGCTGTGGAAGGGGCAGAGTTCAGGATGCCCAGCCCTAGAAGACCCTGCTGGTCCAGACAGGTGTCTGGGAGTCAGGATGGTGATCTAGAAGAAATTTGTGCAACTCAGAGGATGGCTGGGGTCCACCCTCACATTTTTCTTTCTTTGTTAAAATTTATTTTAATCCTATCTTCCAAAAATTTTTGAAGCCCCCTTGCATGTATTTGAATATCCGTAATAGACCTTACGTGACTAACATATGAGGGATAGCATCTATCAGAAAGCATAAAGCTAATTCAACATGAAACTCAGTACTGTTGACTTGATGCTGAGTCACGGTGACATGGATTACCAAGTAGAATTGCTTCATAGCGTTCTCTTAACTATATTTTCACGGAAACAGGTAGGTTATCTTGTTTTTGTGGTATCTCTTGTGGTATCTCTGAGTGGATTTGAATGCACACTTTTAAATTAGTAATCAGTCTCAAACTGTTTGTACCACCAGAAACATTGTTTGTGATACATTTTCAATGGGATTACGTTGCATTCTATCACTCCGCGCTTAATTTTGTGCTGTGCTTGCTCTTTCACTGCCTTTAGCCTCTTAAAATTGATTTGGTGCTCCTTTTCAAGGTACAAAAAGCAATTGAAGAGGAAAATTGCCGCTTTGGGACTATTGATACTTGGTTGTTACATAAACTTACGAAAGGTAAAAATTATCTGATAACTCTTTCAATGATCGCAACGTGACAAAAAAAGATTTGCCCAGGGGATAAAAGGTTACTTTTGTCTCGTTTTTACTTCCTGTATCCCAGGCACACTGCCCTTTGGTTCCCAAATAGCTACATATTGCAATAAAGCTAGATAGATCTCTTGTTAGAGGTGGATAATTTGAAAATTACGATGAAATTTTGAACATAAGACTTGGGGAGAGGTATAATTTCAAGAGTGGGAAGATTTATGTTGAGCCCCACAAACTGTCACTTTGTTTTGACCTCTGTTCTCATTTCTAAGTTGAGACTCATAACGTAACTGTGTATGGATCCCCTTCTGTAAACTGTAAACATTCGTAGAGATTAAGTGGGAAACTGCTTTGGAGACTTGACATTGGAAATACACATGTGGGAATGAATTTGGGAGTAGACAGAATTCTGTTTTATTACACAGTGGCAGGTGTTTAAACTACCTGATTTAAAATGTTTTGTTTCCAATGTGAATTTAGGTTCTGAATATGCCACAGATTTTTCAAATGCCAGTACAACTGGACTTTTTGACCCGTATGAGGTAAGGACTCTTTTATTTTCTTATTAAATTGCCAGTCTATGTAATGTAGGTGGGAGTCTCATGACCTGTTTTTATGCCCAGATGTGCTGGAGCGGCCTCATTACCTCCCTGCTGTCAATACCATGCTCTCTCCTGCCTCCTGTAAAGGACACGAGGTAATACTGGGCGTCAGGCATAGGGAACAGCAATATGATCCCTGAATTCATTTTGTTTGGTAGGTAAAAGCATTTTTGTGGTATGTTTGGGTGCTGGTGTGCTTATTATGTAACTTTTGATTCTACTATAAACAATTTACTGAATTTTGTAATTAATATTTCTAAAACGATGCCTTTTTAATCAATTTTATTTGAAGCCACAATTTTGGAACCGTGAATGAAGAGATATTTGGTGTGTCTATACCAATCATGGCCTTGGTAAGTAGAAAGTTTTAGGATTTCCCTTTGCATAATATAAGCTGAAAGAATCTATGTGAATAGTTGTGGCTAGGTTTAAGAGAAGTCAAAGACCCTTGGCAGAATAAAATTAAAATGACTTTGTTTTTTAAATTAAAGTGTCCCAAAGTATTCGAATAATGGAAATGTTTCATTATCTCTTCTGACTTCAGAAAACTGTTAAATCTGTTTATAGTATTATATTTTGGTTATGTTTGGTACTTTGAAATGCAAAAATTGGGGTGGGAGGGTCGGGAAGAGAGGGAAAAAAGAGTTGCTGATAAGGTAAGGCTCAAGTAAAAAGATAATGTTTTCAAAATAATGATGGCAACATATTATAAGTTTGCTTGATATAATTGATTTGTAGATTGTTATAATATCTGTAAGAGACCCCAGTAAATGACTTTTTTAAAAGAAGGAATATAAGAAATATTTTTTAAAAAAGATCTACAGTGTTAAAAATTCTATAACTCCCTTTAAAAAAATAAAAATGGGATAAATACTTAGTGCATATTTGAGACAATGAAACCATAAGCAATGATAGGGAAATTTAAATTATTGAAGTAAGTTGTACTTGCCTTGTCTAGCAACCTTAGCTATCTGCTACCGGACCTCAGAGGTCCTTTTTTTCTTGAGTATTCCTTTCCTCTGACTGGTTAAGAGAAGAAGTTGGGGAACCCCAAGGATTGGCCAGCTGATGGAGAAATTGTAGAACTCAGGCCTTGTGCTGTGATCACTTCAGCAGGATGTGTAGACCACCTTGCTGGATGGTCAGACCCCACAGCAGCTGGGAAAGAAGACAAGGGAAGAGGAATTTCATTTCCAAGTTACAAAGCTGTAGTCATTTAGAGAATCTTAATCTTATTAAAGGATCCCTGGTGGTGTAGAGGTTACAAGTTGGGCTGTGATCTGCATGGTCAGCAGTTCAAAACCACCAGCAGCTCTGCTGGAGAAAGACTGGGCTTTCTACTCTGATACACTGTTACAGTCCCGGAAACCCACAGAGGTCACTGTGAGTTAGCATTGACTCAGTGGCTTTGAGCTTTCACTCATTAAATCTCAGTTTAAGTAAGCTCAAGTTCAGATTAACATGGCTGGAAGAGTTCTAGATAAGTGAAAACAATTTTTTATTTTTGTTTTGGTCCCCATGAATTTTGCTCCTTAAATATTGCTGCTTTTATATCTACATCTAGTTACCTTAACAAAATATCATATATATGTTAAATAAAATGGAAGACTTGGTTTATAGATAGTTCTGAGTTAAACCTATGTATAGTTAAATATACTCTTCTGGCTCTTATTAAAAGAGAAATTAAGAGAAATTTTGACCAATGAGTTCAACCTCTACTTCCTAATTGAGAATGAGATAGTATTTCTCCTGCACAACTTTTATCCTGGCCTTTATTCCTAATATTGCTCATGACACTCGTACTGCCATCAAGTGGATTCCATCCACAGTGACCCTACAGGCCGGGGTAGAACTGCCCCATGAGTTTCGGAGATTGTAACTCTTTTTTTCTAAATAGTTTTATTGGCATATACATCACATATCATACAATTTAATCCGTCAGTCATAATAAAATGATTTTGCAATCATCATCACAATTAATTTCAGGTTTTCTTCTCCCCTTTTCCCTCCATCTTCCCCTGATATATGCCCCCTAGGCAATGACCAATCCAGTTACTTCCTCTATAGATATATCTATCTTGGATTTAATATATAGAAAATCATACAAAACACAAATAGGAAGCAAACAAATAAACAAAACCCCATAACAGTGACTAGACAAAACATAGAAAAACCTCAATTGGAAAAAAGCAGAAAATAATAAAAACTGAAACAACTTTTAAATGGATCAAAAGGGAGATTAAATGATAAGATATTACATTTTAACCTAACCACATTTTAACCTCCATCTGCCATAATCAACTTTACAATGCTGTTAGTCTGATAGCTAAACTATTCACATCCCTGGACTGTGTTTTGTGTTGGGATTCACCAGAGGTTTAATCCATATGTGGACCTTGCATATGGATTTGGGGCTTCCACTTCCTTAGCCTTCTGAAAACCAGGTGTTTACTATTTAAGCTCGAGTCCAATCCCTCCTGTGGATTTGGATTCTATTATTTATAATCCTTGTATAATGCAGACTTGTTGCTTCTTCCATGTGGACTTAGTTGATGCCTCACTTATCTGGCTGCTGGTTTGAAGATAAGACTTTGAAGACTTCAGATATAATTCTTTATGATAGCTAGACATCATCTGATTTCTTCACATTTTGATATAGCACCCATATCTGTAGTGATCTCTTCATGAGGGTGAATCTAAAGTAGATCCATGTCCTAAAAACTAATTATTCTTAAATTCTAGCTAGAACTGATTACAAGCCCAAATACATTCATACAAGGTGGTTACCACCACCACCCCCAAAAAAAATAATAGGAAAAAGCTCCTCTGGGTGGAGCTTTCATTGTCCATCCGAGCAACCCTCTCTGAGTTAGTGCACTCAGTGGCATCACCTGGAAGGTTCTTTCTGGTCACAGTGAATTTTTTCGTAAACGCAGTTCACTTGAACCTCGTTTTTTTGTGATGACTGATTTAATAGAACACTGTGCAGCTGTGAAATTTTGTTTCCCATTGGGAAAAGTGCCACAGAAACTGTTGTCATGTTGAACACAGCTCGCAAGAACAGTGCTGTGGGGAAAACGCTAGTGTATGAGTGTTTTTTCTCATTTCAAAAAAGGTGAAATATTGATTGATGACAGACCTTATTCTGGATTTCTGTCAACTTCCCGAATGATTATAAACTTCCACTTGTCATTCATTTGGAGTTCGTTCCACCAGGTCGGACTGTTAATAAAGCTTTCTATTTAGAGGTTCTGGAAAGATTGTGTAACAGTGTGTGACAAAAAAAGACTGATTATGGCAGATGGGGGACTGGTTTTGCCACCACGACAATGCACCTGCTAATGTTGCTATCTCAGTGCCCCATTTTTTGGCAAAAAACAGCATGCCTCTCTTTGCTCCATGGAACTTTTTTCTGTTTCCACGAATAAAGAGGGACGTGTAAGGACAGCGATTTGAAATGAGGGAATGCTGTCAGCTATCCAAACAGATGAGTTAAAAAATTTTTCCAAGAACAGAATAGCAGATTTGACAAATGTATTAAATGTAAGGGAGAGTGCTTTGAAGGTGATAAGGTTGTTTTGTAAAAAAAAATTTAAATACACAGCTTTGAAAAAAATTGAGGGTTTTTTTTTTGGGTGGGGATGCGGTAACCCCTCATACATCTGTGGTTTTTTTATATGTCTCTGGTTTACTTTAAACACATAATTGTAATTTTATGATAGAGAACATTATAAATCATCCTCTTGGGGCATAATATAATTCTATTTAGTTTCATTAATTTAGTCAATGATATATAATTTAAAACATTGTTGAGAAAATGAAATTATATGGGTACACGCCATCTTCAGACTGCAATACATGAATTGTTGACTTATACAGATTAAACCCTTCCTTGATTGGTCATTGTTTACACAAACAATGGGGGTTGGGAATAGGGCAAAACTTTCAGTAACACTTATTCAGAAAGGCAGAACCATTGCCTGCCAGATTAACATGCGTCACACGAAAGCAAGTAAGGCATTAAAATAGTAAATATACGGTAATTCCAAGCTGCCAGTCAATCACTGACCACTTTAAAAACAGGAGATCTGAGCCAAAGTCCAACGACCCCAACTCCATAGCCTTGGGACAGCAGTCACCTGCGCTCACACTAAGGCACTTCAGTCTCAACTCCAAGCGAATATGCCAGTTCCTTAAATCTGCTGCAGGGGAGTGTGAAGCAAAGCCCAGTTTGCTCAGTGGGGTTTTCACACTGAATCCTTTTGGTGTGGCCTGTGAAGGATGTTGTGTGCCTCAAAATGACAAGAGTCTAAATTCCCAGCAGGCTATAGGGCTTGATAGAAAATAGGTCAAAAGTGGCCAATTAGGAACACAGTATTGGGCATATTTTCCCTGTGGGTTTATATAAATATTGTTAAACATGTTTTCCCCCAATGAGAGGTCGCTCTACCGAGTTTACCCACCAACATAAGTGTAACTGCCTTCTCTGAGACAGACATGCCCCCTGCCTACAGCTTGGCTTGAATTCTAGTAAGGTTCACTTACCATTTTTTAGTAGGAGTATCTATAGATTCGGGGTGAATTTAGCTCAGGGTTGAATGGCAGCAACTGAATGGCCTTCTCCCTCTTCCTCCATCATGAGGAACCGGGTCCAGCTGAGATGAGGTCTCCTCTGCCAACGTGATTTTTGAGGTGTCCTTATAAAGGGGGGTATGTGGCTCATGGGCACCGGGAAAGCTCTCTACCTCATTGCTCAGGAGATAACATTGGAAGAATACATGACTTGGGAGCAGAAGCCTGCTTGGTCCTTGTGTTTATTATAGCAGTGGGTTCATACAATGTCTGTCCTCTTGTGATTGATACAGCTATTCCCATCCATGTTGTAAAGCGTTTCATGGTTCATCTCTGCTTCTAGGGATGCACAGTATCCCATTGTGTGTATTACCAGAGTGTCTCTATCCATTCTTCTTGTTATTGTGAACTATGTTGAAATGAACGTGAGAGAGCATATGTCTGTTTGTGTTCTGTCTATGCCCAGGAAAGGTATTGCCAGGGAATAAGGTATTTCTATTGCCAGTTGTTTAGGTATTGCCACATCACTTTCTACAATGGCTGTACATATTTACAAGCTCACCAGCAGGGTATACAAAAAAGAGTTCCAGTCCCCTATTACCCTCTCCAGTATTTGTTGTTCTCTATTTTTTTGAATTGGGCTGTCATAGTGGGTGTGAGGTGATAACTCGGCATTGTTTTGATTTGTATCTCCTGGATAGCTAGGCATCATGAGCAATTTCTACATGTGTTTGTTGGCCTTTTGAGTGTTTCCCCTTGTGAATTGTCTATTCATGCCCACTGCCCACCTTTTAAATTTTATTTATTTATTTTAAAAATAATTTTTATTGGGGGGCTCATACAACTCTTATCACAATCCATACATACATCAATTTTATAAAGCACATCTGTACATTCATTACCTCATCATTCTCAAAACATTTGCTCTCCAGGTAAGTCCCTGGTATCAGCTCCTCATTTCTCCCCTCCCTCCCCGCTCCCCACTCCCTCATGAGCCCTTGATAATTTATAAATTATTATTTTGTCACATCTTACTCTGTCCAACGTGTCCCTTCACCCACTTTTCTGTTGTCTGTTCCCCAGCCGTTGTCCACCTTTTAACTGGATTATTTGGGGTTTTTTTTTTTCTTATTTAAGTGTTGCTGAATTCTATAGATCTTAATATTTAGTTCCTTGTCCATTGTAATTTGTAAAGGATTTTTTTTCCAATCCATGGGCTCTCATTTTATTCTTTTGATGTGCCTAAGTATTTTATTTTTAATAGGCCCAAGTCATCTACTTTATCTTTTGTGAGGGTTTCCTTTATTATAATTGGTAGTCCGTGTATACCCTGCAATAGGGCCCTTAAGTTTGTCCCAGTTTTTTCATTGATGAACCTTATAGCTCTCAAGTTTACATTTAGGTCTCTAATCGATCTTGAGTTCATTTTTGTGCATGGAGTGAGGGAATGGTCCTGTTTCATTTTCTGCTGATGTAGATCCAGTTTTTCTAGCACCGTTTGTTGAAGAAGGTGTCCCTTTCCTTTTTAATATTTGTCCTCGGTCAAAAATCAGTTGCCAGTCAGTTGCTTTTATTTCCGGTGTTTCTTTACCGGCTCATGGGTGTGTGTTTCTGCCGTCATACCAGTACCAGCTTGTTTTGACCACTGTGGTCTGGACAGTAGACCCGACACGCACATGTTTTGGGCAGGTAGCCGACCAGCAGTCAGCTATGTTTGGAGAGTGCTGCTTCCATACAGGAGATGTGAAATTCACCATGGGAACTGGGACATTTTTGGACATTAATACTGGAAACAACTGTGAACAGACTACCGGAGGTAAATACTCATAGAATTTATCCTGTTGAATAATAAACCATTACTTCCTCTGTAAATATTTAAATTTTGTGATACTATTTTCTTGTGTTATATTAAGTCTAATCTCAGACACTTAATATTATTACTATTCTTAGACAAAACTAATCCCAATTTCCCCTCTCTTGCTTTCAGTTAGAAGCATATTTCAGGAAATATCTTATTTTTATATATTAAAAAAAGATGTTATATAGAGAAATTCAGAAAGATTGGGAGATTTTGATCAGCCTACCAAATATTTATCTATAACATGGATGATACTTGTTTAAAACACCTTAAATCCCCCCAAAACCCATTGCCATTAAATTGATTCCAACTCATAGCAATGCAAGAGAATCGAGTAGCTGCCCCTCGACAGACTGACCTGTGTGTCTCCCGTAGGTTGGCGTTTGGATTCATGAACCATTCCGGTCCCAGCTGAGTCTTCAGCCACTCCCCCACCCAAGTCTCCAATTAAAAAATATATCTATCTTCTTTTTCCTGTGAAATTTTTGCGATGCTAATTCTCAAAGTAGCCAGGAGTATTTAAGGCTTTAATGACAATCGCTAGGAATTAGTTGTCTCTCATAAAGGGCATCCTGGGATGGACAACCCAAGATGCTTGTTCCTGGATAGTTGGAATGAGCTCAACAGAACTGGGGCTCTTAGTCTGGGCTTTGTTCTCCTAAACTGGACAGAAATCGGCAATGATTTAAAAATTGCCACTGCATTCTGACCTCGCTCAAGCTGTTACTCTTTGATTGAACAAATGGAAGGTAGAGAATGTTGACCACTGCGTCAGGTTGTCTCCTTTAGAAACAGTGTTTAGAAATCAGAGATGAACATAGCAACATAGGGATTTCTGTAACAAGCCAATCTCAGAAGAACTTTGTATTTCTCAATGGAAAGGTTTTTTTCTGTTTTAGGAACACAGAGATCCCTACAACCAATACAAATTAATATTTATTGTTCATTGTATTTGCCAGGCACTGTGCTAACTGTTGAGATGTATTTGTGCCATAATAACTCTCTGAGGTAGGCTGGTTTCCAGTTGAGGAAACGGAGTCTAGAAGTTATGAACTTGCAAGACCACAGCTAGTAAATGGAAGGAGCTGGGGCTATGGAGTCAGGTAGTTTGACTCCACCGTTGCTTTGCTATTTCTCAGAAGTAATCAAATTGTTGTATTGTGGAAGTCTCTATAATAACTTATGCATTTATCATGTACCTTGCTTAGATTTTTATCTTTTTAAAGGTTTTTACCCATTGATCGGATGGAAGATTGGACAAGAAGTTGTTTGCGTAGCTGAAAGCAATGCCGCAGACACCGGGACCGCCATAAAATGGGCCCAGCAGTTAAGTAAGTCCTCTTATAAGTGAAGTTCACAAACCAGAGTCAAGAATTCAGCAACACCATGGGGTTGCAAATTAGTAAGGCAGGAATTATTTATTCAAATAAACAAAAATAAAATAACATGGACTAGAAGAGTATATACCGTATATACTTGAGTATAAGCCAACCCGAATATCAGCTGAGGCACCTAATTTTACCACAAAAATGTGCTGAAAAACTCGGTGTATACACGAGTATATACAGTATATAATCATAGTTTTTTGATATTGGGATGGGAAAGACTAGGTTTTTAAGCCAGGAATCTTAAAGGAAAAGAAATTTGCCTATGTAAGATATTAGCATACATAGGGGAATACATGCCATAAGCAAAGTTAAAAGACAAATTGGCAAACAATTTTCAGCATGTCAGGAAAAAATGGACAAAGCACATAGATGCAAGTATTTCATAAAAGAAATCAAATAACTGCAAGAAATGCAACTCAAATCCAGTAATAAAAATATGCCATTTAAATAATGATATTAGCTATCATAATGCCAAAGGTGAACATGTTTGATGATGCTTAGGGTTGGTGGGAAGGTAGCAGAAAAGGTGTTCTTATTTTCCATTGGGGTGAGTGTGTGTTAGTGTGAGCTTCCTGAAGGACAACCCAGCAATATGCATCATTTTAAAGAGTGCTGGCCCTTTGTCCCCTCAGTTCTATTCTTGACTAAGAAATGTGTGCAAAGGGTGTTGACTGCAGCCCTCGGAAGCAAGTTCATGATGAAGCACTGAGGAGTCACTGTGAGGAGGACGTTCCTACGGAGGAGCAGCAGGCAGTCACATATTAACAGTGTACTTGACGAAGAGGACGAAGCAGTGACCACCTTTTAATACCTGCTGTATTGAGATGTGGTTCATGTGCTATATATTTCACCCATTTACATGTACAATTCAATTCGTTGTTTTTTAATATTCTCACAGGATAGTGCAGCCCTATTCAAAATCTAATTATTATGGTATATTTCTGTCTTCCCTGAAAAACACTCCATGCTCATGGGCAGTCACTTTCCATCCATTCCATCCCCCTGGAGCCCCATCTACTCTCAATGGGGATTGTGCCCATGCGGGTCAGTCCTATGAATGCAATGATACGGTAGGCCCTCTTTAAAAACACATGCACTTTTCCATGTGACCTGTGTCGCTAGCCCACTTCTTTTTAGTGCTGAATAGTATTCCATTGTGCGGATGCACATGACTTACCCACTCATCAGTTAACAGACATTGGGTTGTCTCCACGTTTTGACTAGTTAGAAACATAAGCAACCCGTGTGTTCCTTAACCATTTTTAGTGTATAATATGTTAAATGTTATATAGAAAAGTGCTAATATTGGCCATCACTGATGAGTCAATTATGAGGCAGATTTTTACTTCTTTTTATTTTTTTAATGAGTGAGCTATTTTATTTGTATAAGGCTTTTACTTTATAAACTTATTATCAGGTTAATGTATGCACTGTTTGTCACAGCTAAGTCATGATGAGTCTTGAAGATGAGAAAACAGGGGATTAGTGAGCACACGTGACAAGCTCCATGTGTCAAAGCTTAGTCAGAGCGCGGCTCTGAGGATCGAGGGTATGTGGTAGCTAATCCATACTGATTAGTTTCTTTCATGTTGCTTAAGCTATGCCACTGTTCTTTTTTACAAAATCACTTTATTGGGGTCTCTTACAGCTCTTACCACAATCCACACATCCATCCATTGTGTCAAGCACATTTGTACATTTATTGCCCTCATCATTCTCAAAACATTTGCTTTCTACTTGAGGCCTTGGTATCAGCTCCTCGTTTTTCCCCCTCCCTCACCCATCTTCCCTCCCTCATGAACCCTTGATAATTTATAAATTGGTATTATTTTTCATGTCTTACGCTGACCATCTCCCTTCACCCATTTTCTGTTGACCGTCCCCCAGTCAGGGGGTTATATGTAGAGCCTTGTGATCGGTTCCCCCTTTCTTCCCCCACCTCCCCCTTACCCTCCTGGTATTGCTACTTTCATTGTTGGTCCTGAGGGGTTTATCTGTCCTGGATTCCCTGTGTTTCCAGTTCCTATCTGTACCAGTGTACATCCTCTTGTCTAGCCGATTTGTAAGGTAGAATTGGGGTCATTATGGTGGGGGGAGAAAGCATTGAAGAACTAAAGGAAAGTTGTATGTTTCATTGGTGCTGCACTGCACCCAGATTGACTCATCTCCTCCCCGCGACCCTTCTGTAAGGGGATGTCCAATTGTCTACAGATGGATTTTGGGTCTCCACTCTGCACTCCCCCTCATTCACATTGATAAGATTTTTTGTTCTGGGTCTTTGATGCCTGATACCTGATCCCATCGACACCTCGTGATCACACAGGCTGGTGGGCTTCTCCCATTTGGACTTTGTTGCTTCTCAGCTAGATGACTGCAGACTTTTACTTCGTCCCCTACTGATTTGATCTAAGTTGATTTGTTTGACAAGGTTAGTTCTCTTGACAGAAAATGTTTACTCCAGGAAGAGTGCACCATCAGTTTCTTCCACTCTCCCGGAGGCTGCACATGCGCTGTAAACATAACATGACTTAGTAACCAGCTCTCTTTGTTTCAAAGCTCTTTATCATTTGCAAGTATCCTCCTATTTCAAGGTTTGTTAATACACCTCTTTAGACACACACCTCCTTAGACAACTCATAGATGATCAGAAATAGAAAATGTAGATCACACATTTCTTTATATTACATAATGCTTTCGGTTACTAGTTCTTCCCTGGCCTATAGGGTCACTATGAGTTGGAATTGACTCATTGACCTTGAGTTATAAGTTTATTTAGTTTTATTCTCTCTAGAAGATGCTGAGAAACCACAGATTGGGCAATTTCACATTCATCAGTTAAAAAAAATAGTATTCCCAAGTTCCATATGAATTCATGTGTTTATTATTGGTGGGAACCATTCCACAGCACAGCTAGGTTGAGGCTCATTCATTTCGATTCTCAAAGACTGGAAGCTTTTCAGCAGGTTGGGGATATTTATGGCCCTGGCCTGGAAGAGTGGCAACCTTTTGATAGAGGCACACACCCTTCCCGAAGACCAGCCTCATCTTTGGTAGGAACACAGGGCTGTTGGTATAACCAAGTGATCTCCTATTTATCTTAATGTTTCAATCATTGGTATAACCCACTGCCATTGACTCCTGGTGACCCTGTAATGCAGAGTAGAACTACCTTGGGTTTCTGAGACTATGAAAATGTATGAGTTCTGACAGCCTCATCTTTTTTTTTTTTTTTTAAATCTCTTTATTGGGGGCTTGTACAACTCTTAGCCTCATCTTTCTTGCACTGAGTGACTGAGGATAGGTGAAAACTGCCAGCCTTGCAGTTGCCAGCCAAATGCTTAACCACCTGCATCAACAGTGCTCTTTATCATTGTCCTTGCTGGGTAGTCCTGATATATATCTATCTGGAATTCACATAAAAAGTCAATGTTTATTTCACTATATCCATTTCTACTTTTTTTAAATCCTATTTGAGGATTATTTCCAATGGGCGTATTGGAAAAATTAGCCTATATTTTATTCTGGAGAAAAAATGTGGAAGAGCCATATCCCCAATGATGTGTAAATTCTGCAAGGTCTGAGCCTTTGTCAGTGAAAATCCTGGCAGGACTCCAGCAAACAGGAAGGTCAAGACAAAAAGAGGGGGGAGAGAGGAGAAACTGGCCTCCAGAGAGCTATACATCGCGGCCGCACTTCCAAGTGAAGTCATCAGGCTGCGACCTGACTGACAGGCTAAACTTCACCCCTAAACTTTAATATATCTTCAAGTTGACATGAAATTACGAAACTACCACAAGATCTCATTCTTGTAAATATTTCGATATCTTCTAGCTTTCATTTAGTTAACCAATATTGAGTGTTGAGTAGATACCTGGACCCGGAGCAGGTGCTGGGGAAACACCAGTGAGTGAGCACTCACGGTTCCTACATTCATAGAGACTACAGTCTAGTACAAAAGACAGGTATTAAATGGTAGCAAGATCGAGGATCTTTTTCTAAAGGGAGCACTTAAGACTATTCTAGAGAATCAGAAAACAAAACCAGTTGTAATTGAGTCCACTCTGACTTCTGAGCGACCCCGTGAGTGCAGAGCAGAACTGTGCTCCATAGGGTTTTTAAAGCTGCAGCCTTTCAGAAGCAGGTTTGCCAGGCCAGTTTGCTGAGTCATCTCTGTGGGGTTTGAGCTGCCAACCTTTCGCTTGGTAGTTGGACACCTACCCTATTGAGTCAGCCAGGAACTCCTGGAGCATCTGCAAGCTCCAGGAAGAGTGATTGGACCACTGGATTGGGGGTTGGCCAGGGAGGGCGCCAAGCAGAGAGGACCAGTGTTGGGGAGGGTGACCTCTGTTGGGGAAGGTCAGGACCTCTTCAAAGACTGGAAAGAATCCCTTATTCCTTCTCTGCAGATGAGAAGCTCCTCATCTCTGCTGTCGTACAGTAACAAGGGTCAAGGGACATCTTTTCCTTAGCAAGATCCCATTTAACTGCTCCGTGTCACATCTGCCTGCTCCAGGCAATCCCCTCAAGACTTCCAGTACACATTTAAAATTAACCCCGCACGCTCGTTTCCAGAAATGCAAGGAACCGATTCCTTCTCTTTGGATACCTTCCCTAAAGAGATGTAGTCTTCCTCATTAGAGGAGATGATACAAACGTTCTCTTCTAAATGGACTGATTCTGTTAGGTGCCAGCGAGTTGCTTCCAACCCATACCCTGTGTACAACAGAACAAAACCCTGCCCAGCCCTGCGCCATCCTCACAATTGTTCCTGTGCTTCACCCCATTGTTCCGGTCACGGTGACCTTATCAAGGGCCTTTCTCTTTTTCACTGTCCCTCTAATTTGCCAAGCATGATGTCCTTCTCCAGGGATTGGTCTCTCTATAACATGTCCAAAGTACAGCAGAGGAAGTCTCCCCATCCTTGCCTCTAAGGCAGCTCCGGC